GCGCTCCGCTGCTGGCGGCCTGGGTTCAGATCCCGGGCGCGCACTGACGCACCGCTTCTCCGGCCATGCAGAGGCCGCGTCCCACATACAGCAACTACAGGGATGTGCAGCTATGACATACAACTATCTACTGGGGCTTTGGGGGAAGAAAATAAATAAATTAATTAATTAAAAAAAAAAAAGAAGAAGACGGACACAGATGTTAGCTCAGGGCCAGTCTTCCTCACACACACACACACAAGAAAAACAAAGAAAAGAAACTCTGACACATGCTACAGCATGGGTGAACCTTAAAGACATGTGCTAAATGAAATAACCCAATCACAAAAGGAAAAACAACGTATGATTCCACTTATATGAGGTCCCTAGAGTAGTCAAACTCACAGGCAAAGAAGATAGACTGGTGGTTACCAGGGGCCAGGGGAGGGGGGTTCTGGAGTGAGTATATTTATGAGCACAGAGTTTCCATTTCAGATGATTAAAAAGTCCTGGAGATGGATGGTGGTGATGGTTGCACAAAAATGTGAATGTCCCTAATGCCACTGAACTATACACTTAAAAGTGGTTAAAATGGTAAATTTTACGTTGTGTACATTTTGCCACAAAAAAGAAGAGAAAAAATTTGATAATTTTTGATAAATCAAAACTACAAATTCTGCTCTTCCAAAGGCAGTCTCTTTTTTTTCATTTGAGAACCATTTTATTTACTTATTTATTTTTATTATGGTAACATTGGTTTATAACATTATATAAGTTTTAGGTGTGTAACCATCATAGACCAATTCATACCTGCCCTATTGTGTCCTATTGTATCAATAACAAAATGTCAATCAAAGTTGTCCTGCAGGGGCGATGAGCAAAAATTGCAAGTCACACAGCTGGAGCGTGCAGAGAAGATGGAAACTCTGTCCTCAGACAGCCCCGAACTGCTCAGGAACCAAAAGTTCCCTCACTATGGAACTCAATGTGAAGAAAAAGTGGAATGGGGAACCTAACGAGAAGCAAGGGGCCCACGATTTGTAGCACACCGGCCTTATAAAACTGTTACACTCCACCCTCCAGATCCCCCCAAGGTAGCATTTTGAATAACCACTCCCACTCCCAACTCCTTTTGAGTCTGGCCCCACCTCAACTCGGGCAGTCAGACTAGAGCTTCGCTTCCTGTGTCCTTGCTGGTGGGCCATGCAATAAAGCTCTTTCTTCTCTCAAAAGCCAATCCCGTAGTCTTGGCATCTGTGCACATCGAGCAGTGTGCCCTTGCTCTGTGGCAGGTGCACATCACCATGTTTCCATTTCTGTGTAGACCACACCGTGTTTACCACCCAAAGACCAATTACCACCCATCACCACACACATGTGCTCCTTCACCCCTTTTGCCCTCTTCCCTTCCCCCTTCCCCTCTGGTAACCACCAATCTGTTCTCTGTGTCTATGTGTTTATTTGTTTTTTTATCTTCCACATATGAGTGAAATCTTAGGGTATCTGTCTTGCTCTGTCTGACTTATTTCACTTAACATAATGCCTTCAAGGTCTATCCATGTGGTCGCAAACAGAAAGATGACTGAGTAGTATTCCATCGTGTGTGTGTATATATGTATCACATTTTCTTTATGCATTCATCTGTCAATGGGCACTTAGGTTGCTTCCAAGTCTTGGCTATTGTGAATAACGCTACAATGAACACAGGGGTGCAAATATCTTTTCAAATAGTGTTTTCATGTTCTTTGGATAAATACCCAGCAGTGGAATAGCTGGATCATATGGTAGTTCTATTCTTAACTTTTTGAGGAATCTCCATACTGTTTTCCATAGTGGCTGCACCAGTTTGCACTCCCACCAGCAGTGTATGAGAGTTCCCTTCTTTCCACATCCTCTCCAACACGTGTTGTTTCCTGTCTTGTTAATTATAGCCATTCTGACGGGCGTGAGGTGGTATCTCATTGTTGTTTTGATTTGCATTTCCTTGATAATTAGTGATGTTGAGCATCTTTTCATGTGCCTGTTGGCCATCTGTATATCTTCTTTGGGAAAAATATCTGTTCAGATCTTTTTCCCATTTTTTAATTGGGTCCAAATGTAGTCTTAAGCAACTGAAGAAGCAAGACACAAGCTGCGAGAAAACACTGGCAATACGTATAGCCAACAAAAAACTCATATCCAGAATATAAAAAGAATTCTTACAATAATACGAGAATAAATAACCCAATTAAAAAATGGGCAAAAGGTTTGAACAGACACTTGATCTAAAATACATGGATGGGTTGGGCTGGCCCCGTGGCTTAGCGGTTAAGTGCGCACGCTCTGCTGCTGGCGGCACGGGTTCGGATCCCGGGCGCGCACCGACACACCGCTTCTCCGGCCATGCTGAGGCTGCGTCCCACATACAGCAACTAGAAGGATGTGCAACTATGACATACAACTGTCTACTGGGGCTTTGGGGGAAAAAAAAAACCTTTGTTATAAAATATATGGGTGGGCAACAAGCACATGAAAGGATGCTCAACATTACTGGTCATCAGAGACCACAGTGAGATACCACCACACACCCACTAGAATGGCCAAATTAAAAGGACAGATATACTAAGTGCTGGCGAGGATGTGGACCAGTTGGAACTTACACATTGTTGGTGACAATGTAAAATGAGACAACCACTTTGGAAAACAGTTTGGCAGTTTCTTAAATAATTAAACATACATCTACCGTAGATCTAGCCATTTCACTCCTAGGTATTTACCTGAGAGAAATGAAAGCACATGTCCACACAAAGATGTGTACATGAATGTTCATAGTGACTTTATTTGCAATAGCCAAAAAGATGGACACAACCCAAATGCCCATTAACCGGTGAACGGATGAACAAACTGTGGTCCATGCACACAGTGGAATCCTCTTCAGCAACAGAAAAGAACGGACAATTGATACATGCGACAATGTGGCTGGATCTTTACAACAGCAGCCAGGCCAGCTGTTCCACCCGGGGAGAGGCTTTGCCCCACCCTTTCCCACCCCCACGTTGGGCTCTGCTCTGAGCAATGACCATTGACCAGTGGAAAGTCTGTTTCCCATACTACTCAGTCATCGATTTAAAATTTGTCATGGTCCCTTTTAAGTTTAAATCTAAAGGTCTCCACAAAACAACTTGCACAGAGGACCAGGTCTCTGAGAGGTGGAGAGAGGCCAGATTGGGAGGGGTGTATTGGTTTCCTGAGGCTGCCATCGCTTAAAGCAATAGACATTTCTTCTCTCACAGTTCTGGAGGCCAGAAGTCTGAAATCAAGGGGTTGGCAGGGCCGTGCCACTTCTGACGGCTCTGAGGGAGAAGTCCTCCCAGGCCTCTCTCCCGACTCTGGCGGCTCCAATGATCCTCGGGGTCCCTTGTGGATGTATCACTCCAGTCTCCGCTTGTGTCCTCATGGCTTTCTCCCTGTGAGTCTGTGTCTCTTCTCCTCTTCTTCTTTTTTGCAGGGAAAGATTTGCCCTGAGCTAACATCTGTTGCCAATCTTCCTCTTTTTCTTCTTCCTCCCCAAAGCCCCAGTACATGGTTGTATATCCCAGTTGTAAGTCATTCTAGTTCTTCTATGTGAGCTGCCACCATGGCATGCTAACTGACAGACAGGTGGTGTGGTTCAGTGACCAGGAAATGAACCCGGGCCACCAAAGCAGTGAGTGTGCTGAACTTTAACCACTAGACCATCAGGGCTGGCTCTCTTCTCCTCTTCTTATAAGGACACGGTCATTGGATTCCAGGCCCACCCTAATGCAGTATGACCTTATCTTAATTTAAATAAGTGCGCCTGACAAGACCCTATTTTCAAATAAGTCACATTCTATGGTTCCAGGTGGACAGGAATTTTGGGGGGACCCTGTTGAACCCAGTACAGGGGCCGCGACTGTCAGGTGAGCAGAGGACACTCCCCTGGGGGCAATGGGAGCCACGGGAGGTGTGTGGGCAGAGGCAGGCACAACCAGTTCTCAGGGTCACAGAGACCCCAGGGGCTGGTGAGGGACAGCGTGAAGGCCTGCAGGGTCCAGGCGCAAAGGGCAGTGAGGAGAGGATGCTTCAGGGGCATCCGGAGGGGAGACGCTGTGTCCGGGAGGGCAGCACGATGCTCCCCAACGTGGCAGTGCTCGCCTCGCTCTCATGCTTTACACCCTCAGGTTTATTCACTCACAGACTTGGGGCGAGAGACACAGATTCGCACTCGGATCTGACCGAGGAGATCTGAGGCAACGGCCAGAATGATCTTTCAGAGAGCACAGAACATCAAGCCTCAGAATCCGTTTATTTCACATGCAGGGATAAAGTCTCCAGCCAAGGGTCAGCGGGTCCCAGGGACGCGAGCCCACTGGCCCATCTTACCCTGCATGCTAGTGACGTAAGGCAATGGAGCCTCAGCGTCACGCAGCACCCAGGCCGGTCCCTGCCCAGACCGGACAAGCCGTGTGACCTTGGGCAACCTCACTGACCCTCGGTTTCTTCCTCTGTGAAGTGGGTTCACAGTCCTTACTGGATGAGATGGGGAAAGTGTCCAGGCCCAGGAGGAAGACTGAAAGCATTAATCCCCCCCCCCCCACTCCCCTTCTGCTCCCAAGGTCTCAGGCCACGACGTGTGCCCACCACAAGGAGGAAAGCAGGAAGGGGGTTAGGAGGGAGAGCTAGTGTCCAACTTTCCACGGGTCTCTGGTTTGCTCTGTGACCTTGGCCAAGTCGCTGCTCCTCTCTTGGCCTTAGTTTCCCCGCCTGTGATATGGGGTGCAGGGGGTCACGCCTGAGGACCTCCAAAATGTTTGCTAAGGTTCCGACACCTCCCGGGGAAGAGCTGGGTCTTTCTCAGACCCTCACACTGTGCTTGGGGGTTTCTCATGTTGTCCAGAGGAGACTCCAATATCTTTCCATTGTAGGTAAAGAAAATCCGGCCTTGATTCGGGGGAGCGGGCAGGGGAGCAGCATCTAAGACTAGGCAGGCTGGAAGCTGAGGGCCGGATAAATGCCCTCCTGGAGGTGGGGTCTGCCTCTCCCCACGAGGCGGACATGCAGTCCCCAGCTCATGTGCACACGTCACAGTCCAGCCAATCGGAGCCGAGCCTGCTGGCCGTGGCCCGGGATTGGGCCGCCCTGAGGCTCCACCCCAGGCAGCCGGTCTCCCGCTGGCTCAGAGGTCTGTCTCTCGCAGGTCACAACCCCTGTCACGCCCACTGCCGGGGGTCCAGGAGCCAGCTCCATCCACCTCTTTCTGCCCTAGGAAGAGCAGATGGTCCTCGTCGGTGGGCAGGAAGTCTGGAGGCCTCTTGGCTCCAGGGGGCAGTTCCTCAGCACCCTGGGGGAAGGAGAGAAGAATGACCTCATTAGAGACCTCATTTCTGCCCTGTGTCAGTCCACCTCCCAGATGGGGACACTTGAGGGCCTGTGAGGATGGGACCTAGTCAAGATTGTACAATATCCCCTTGTCCAGTGCATCGGCTGGTCCTGTCCCTTCTGCCTCCAAAACCTTCATCCACTTCTCTCTGCCATGCCCATGTCAGCTTCAGTTCAGGCCATCGATGCTGACTGCCTCCCTCCTCTCTCTGATTCTCTGCCTGTTTCCCCCAGCAGCTTTAAAACACTTCAGCAAAACCCCTTCCCTCACCAGCCCTCCCCTTGTCAGGCCTGTTCTGGCCCCAGGGCCTTTGCACCTGCTGTGCCCTCCACAAGAATGTCCTTCTTCTATATCTCCATATGGCTGGTTCCTTCTCCTCATTCTGGGCTCTGTCAACGTCACCTCTTCCAAGAGGCCACCCACATCACAGGAACCAGTTTTATTGTTTTCCTAATACTCATCACCTGCTGAGGTCCTACTCATTTCTCAGGTTACCTTTCATCTGCTCCTGTGAGATGGTGGGCTCAGACCCCAGCCCAGAGCAGGGTGGGGTACACAGCAAGTGCTTAATAAATGAGGAAATGAAACAGGGAATCCAAAGCAGGGGCAGGCCTGGATCAGGTCCCCCAGGGACAATGTTTCCCAAACTCAGGGCATTCACATAGCAACCACACAGCTTTGGCCAAAGTCCATCTACCTCCTGTCGTGTTTCTTATGTAAGATCTTCTCTAAGTTGACTCACTTTTGAATTAAGTAATTTTATTTTCAGAAGAGACTTTATATCAGTAACCTAAAGGCAAACGAGTTTCACTCGCCATAGATTGGAAGTAATTGTAAAAACAGATACAATGAAAATGCACAGTATGAAATTCTGCTCACTCCTTGTTGAGGGAGATAATAAAACGTGTTGAAGATGCATCAGCCCCCACCTGAGCCTTTCCACTGGCGGTAATGAGGTTGAGAAAGATGGTGACTCACATGTCACACCATGCCCAGAGCACTGAAGTCACTTCACTGACCAACCCCGCCCTGCCCTGCTCTGGGAGCCCCGCCCTGAGACTGACCTTCACTAGGCTGTCATCCAGGGTGGCTACTTCTTCCTTGGGGGCCACTGACGCCGTCTGCCATGCGAGGTCCCACCACAGCAGCCCGGGAGCCAGGGCACTGCGCTTGCTGGGGCCTGAGGGGCAGAGAGAAACGGACCCATGGTGAGGCGTGGGGGAAGCGGAGACCCTGGGGAGGGGAAGCAGAGCTCTGACGGTTCCAATCCCCGACCCGATAGTGACCCCCGGGGGACCCTGCCAAGCCTTTGCCCTCTCCGGGCTTCATTTTGCTCGTCTACACAGTGGGGGGTTGTAATACAAGATCAGTGGGTGGCCAGAGGGTCCAGCGTGTGGTTCCGCTCACTGCCATGGGCCCAGCATCTAGAATAGAGCCTGGCACAGAGAAGGACTCAGTAAAGGCCTAGTGAGTGTGAAGTCTGAGACCCAGGAAGCAGCAACAGGTACTGTTATGGTGATTGTTTTCTCTTGGTCTCTTTCCACTGCTCTGTGGGGTTCAGAATTCCCGGAGGGGCAGGGAGTCACCGAGGCCCTCAGGAGAAGTGTTTCAGCACCAGGGACAGCGTCTCGCAGCACCACCCCACATCCTCCAGCCACGGCTCCATCTTGGGGGTGGAGGAGGGACTAGAGAGGCGGGCAGGGGGCTGCCTGAGTTTCTGCCTTTGCAAAATAGGACAAGCCATGCGAGGTGACGAAGCATAAAGGGTGTAGATGCGTCCACCATGCAGTGGCCTCTCAGCCGACGGGAGCCTTCCTCCTCTCCCTGCCCAGTGGTTCCTGGAGGCAGAGGGATGGACAGAGTGACCTCTGTCTGAAGGGGCCATACACCCTGCTTACCCGTCAGGCAGCTGACGAGGGCTCCACATAGCACGGTGCTCAGTGTGCCCAGGGCGCCATAATAAAGATAGGAAATGGCGTAGAAACTGTCAGCTAAGGCCGGTCGATCAGGGTCCATTCCGAGGCTGGCGGTGGGAGAGGTGAGCATGAGTCCAAAAGCCTGTCCCACTCCGTTCACTTCCCCCCACTCCCCGTCTCCACTGCCACAGCCTAGCCCAGTCCTCTGTGGGTGCTCACCCGGACGTGTGCAGTAACCAATTTCCTTTCCCTCCTGCTATCCCCTCCCCACCCCCAGCCACTCTCTACCCACAGCCAGGGGGAGCGTTACTAAAATGTAACTCAGATCACCTCCAGCCACTGCTCATCACCCGCTGTGGCTCCCTATTGCCCTCAGAATCAAACCAAATTAAACTCTTAGGAGAAAACACAGGTGTGAATCTTTATGACTTTGGATTTGGCAACAGTTTCTTAGATGTGACACCAAAAGCACAAGCAACCAAAGAAAACATAGATAAACTGGACTTCATCAAAATTAAAAATTTTTGTGTATCAAAGGACACTGTCAAAAGAATGAAAAGATAACCCAGAGAATGGGAGAAAATCTTTGCAAATCATTCATCTGATAAGGATCTAATATCCAGAATATATAAAGATATAAATAATACATAAATTACAAAAAGTACTTAAATAAATAAAAAGACAAACAGCTCAATTTAAAAATGGGCAAAAGATCTGAACAGACATTTCTCCAAAGAAGATATATAAATGGCCAATAAGTCCATGAAAAGATGGTCACCATCATTAGTCATCAGGGAAATGCAAATCAAAACCACAACCAGATACCACCTCACACCCACTAGGATGGCTCAAATGAAAAAAAAAAAGAAAATAACAAGTGCTGGCGGGGATGTGGAGGAATTGGAACCCTTATCCATTGCTGGAGGGAATGTAAAATGTGGAAAAACAGTGTGGTGAGTCCTCAGAAAGTTACACATAGAATTATATGACCCAGCAATTCTGCCTCTAAGGATAAACCCAAGAAAAATGAAAACATATGTCCATAGCAAAACTTGTACACACATGTTCACAGCAGCACTGTCAACAATCGACAAAAAGCGGAAACCACCCAAATGTCCACCAACTGAGGATGGATGAAGAAAATGTGGTCCATCTCACGATGGAATATTACTCAGCCATAAACAGGAATGAAGCTCTGACACGCTACAATGTGGATGAAGCTGGGAAACCTCATGCTGAGTGAGAAAAGCCAGACACAAAAGGCCACACAGTGTGTGATCCCATTTATATGAAACGTCCAGAACAGGCAAATCCATAGAGACAGAAAGTGGATTAGTGGGTGCCTGGGCAGGGGGAGGGGGTGGGGAGTGACTGCTAAAGGGTATGGGCCTTGTTTTTAAGGTGATGAAACGTTCTTGAGTTAGAAAGTGGTGACTGTTGTATAACCTTGTGAATATACTAAAAACCACTTTTAGGTGGTTAATTTTATGGTCTGTGAATTATATCTCACTTAAAAAAGAGAGAATCAGACCACATTCCTCTGGCTGGACCTCATGTCCTATCCTTTCTCCTCCCATTAAATCCATCCCAACCTCACCACAGTTGGAATAGGCACTAAAGTGAACCCGGCCTCAGGGCCTTTGCACTTTCCCTTCGCTCCGCCGGGAATGCCCTTTCCTCACCGCTTCCCAAGCCACTCTCTTCCTTCTCCTTCGGGATTCAGTTGGAGGGCCTCTTCCCTGATCACACCCTCTCAGGCCACGCCCGCCCTCAGAAGAGCCCGCTCACCTGGGGGCCCCGCCTGAGGCGTTGGCGGCGAGGAGCGGGCCCGGGAGGCCGGAGGCGTTGGCCGAGGGCTGGGCGCAGCCGGCGGCCGACGACGTCAGGACCCCCATGGACTGCGCGCTGGGCGGGTACAGAGCGGCTCCCACGGCCACCCACAGCGAGAGCGCCAGGCCGGCGGCCAGCCCGCAGAGGACGCCCTGGGGCGGAGCCGGCGTCAGGGGAC